AAAGCGAGCCCATCCAACAAGGCCACTGCTAAGGCCAGCGCCAAAGCAAAGGCCAAGACCAGCAAAGATAAAAGCAAAGCCAAAAGCAAGACGCTGGAGGATGAAAAGATGCAGGCCTACAAGGAAAAGAATGCACGCAAATCCAAGGAGTACCGTAGGGCCTGGAAACGAGCGCTGGATGAGGGAAAATCGGAACAGGAGGCCAAGGAAGCAGCAAAGGCGGCTTCTTGTTTTGAAGCTGACTTTTATAGGCTGTGTGCACACACACTTGTAGATTGCATTCTGCTTGCCAAATCTGCCACAACCAGCTGAGGCTTACAAAGCTACAGACTGATCGATCGATTCGTATGAGGTTGAGTATGCAAAGCTTGATGGGGCCAAGCTTGGATTTCTTAGGGGTTGGGCAGCGCAAGGCTTGACAACCAATGTGTTGTGGGAGCTCGATCGCTTGCTTCATTTTGTGTGGGTGTTCCTACCAACACCACAGGGCGTTTTGGTCCACTGGTGCTAACACCAGGTGGCATTCCGGCTTCTTAGGATCGTGTGAACACATGCGCAAGCAAATGGAGCAATCAAAGTACCGCTGCTGAGCATGCCTTCTAGCACATGTGCAAAGCAAAGCAGAGTGCCATAGAAACATTTGCCAGGATGCCTTCTCGACTCGAAGGATGGCAAGTTCGTGCGGACATTGAAGGCCTTGCCCACACTTTGACTTCGATAGCTTTGTTGCTTCCCTATTTGTGGCAATAATGCGGCACCCCAACCTATCTCTATGTACCTATCTACGTCTCTACAATATATATATAGTATACCCATGTAAAGATAAGTGGCCCAGACAATATGGAATTGCCGCATTCTCGCCACATGGGCCTGCAATCTGGCTTGCAGTGCTGCAAGTGTCTTAAATAAGTTTCAGTTTTGGCTCTCCCATATAGAGTACCTGTACAGAAAGCATGGAACATGCGGACTCTATCGTGGTGAACCTGGCCCAGCTAGGAGCTCCGAAGGTGGGGCTGAGTAGCTTTCCATGGACATGTTCCCTAAGTGCAGCTTTACGTAGCCCCTGGCCCTGAAGGTCTTGATTGGGACTGCTACTTGGCCAACTTAGAACATGCAGGCTTCTTTGCATGGGTTCATAGCTAGTTAGATCACATGGAACTTGCCTTCCTGCAAGGTCTTGCTTCTTAAATGGATGACAACAATGACTTTCGATTGCAAATTCAATTTCTTCGAGTTGTTTGCGGGCGTGGGCAATGTCACCCAAACCTGGTAACTTGTCTGCGCTAGGGCCCACATTCTGACTCAACCCATATGTGACCACCCTGAATCTTGCTCTGTTCCTGAGGCATGAACATGGCTACGCCACGGCCAGCTATGACAAGCTCTATGGAGATCCAATGAACTTCCTTTCAAATTGTGGCTTTTCGACTCTTGGCTAAAGAGACACTGCTAGACAAGTTGCATATTTACACATCTCAGGATTGCTTTATGGACAGCTTTGAATATGTGCCCAGACTCCCTGACACTGGTGGGGCCAGATTGCTCCAGCTGGGGTATACCAGCACGTGCAACCAGCATGCGATCAGCAATTAATCCATACGGCCGGCTAGGGCTGGAATGGGTTCAAGGCAACACTTGTTTGGTGAGCCGGTGCCTTGCTTGCATTTCTACTACTGGTTGCTAGCTGACGCAGGCGTAGTTTTGTATTGTCATATTGATGATCAGCCCAGGGTGGTATTGCTTTTACTTGTGGCGCTGGCGATGCACACCACATTTGTGGTTGAGCAACCACATGGGTCGTTGCTGCCAAGCCATGCCAGGTGGGATTGGTTCATGAACCGAGTTTGCAAAGCCTCTTGACCACAAAGATTCTGCATGTACAGTCTATATGAAGGATCTTATACAAGCCTACAAAAAAAACACTTGCATCTAAGGTATACAAACAATCACTGTGGATGCAATTGCATGGAGCCCCGAGTCCAAAGCGGACACTATTGCTGTCGCCTATGGCAACTATTTTCAGATTAGATTTGGGCCGCCTTACAAGGGCGGTAAAACAGGCCAAAACCCAAATGCAAACCGTGCGTGCCTTTTCTGACGTATTATATGGAGTTCAATACCCCTTAATCATCCCCTTATAAAGAACATCTATATATGTATATATATATATGGTAATCAACTATAGGTTAAACGTGACTGGCCCTGGTGAATTTATAGGTGGCTGGCCTTGGTGACCTAAAGTTGGGACCTCTAAACCTTGTATTGGGAAGGGGGAGTTTGGGGGGTTTGGGCATCTTGCGGCTGGAAGGTGGGAGCTGTTTGCTTACTCTCCGCTCATTTGGGGGGTCTGGAGGGGGCCTTGGGGCTGGAAGGTGGGAGCTGTTTGCTTACTCTCGGCTCATTTGGGGGAGTTTGGTGGGTCTGGAGGGTAGCTGAGGCAAGCGCACGAATAAAAAGGGCCAGAAATGCTTCTCCGGCAACAAGCAGGCTCTTCGAGCTTCTGGGCCACCTGACCAATTGCAGATGTACTTGTGTAGGTGCGCATAGGTAGTGGGGCAGAGGGATCTATTGCAAGGGTTCTTGCAACATCATCCGAGGGTCTACACCAGACTTTTCGGGGAGAACCTCATGAAAGCCTATGAGGAGTGGCGGTCCCTACCACCAGAAGCCCGAGCAGATTGCAGGGGCCGACAGAAAGTAGACTTGGCCACAACTGATAGGGAGATCTTCGAATCTCTTTCGCTTGGAGATGTTTGGGTAGACAGCCGCGTCCATGAAGTGTTCCTCTACTTGTATGGCTGCAAAAATGTTCAGTACCTAGGCTGCATTTCAGGGTTTATCTACAATTGTGTGTGTGTGTGGCCTCCAAAAGCTTTGTATAGAGCACCCCAGGATCCCAGACAGCTGGCAATCTACAATGGCGGACTTTAAAGATGATCTGGTTGCCCACGTAGCTTTGCTGCAATATCAGACTCCACTTATATAGGTTCTACTGGAGCAGTCCATCCAAACAGAAATGGCTGAGGCACTGGGTTCCCTGGAGCTACGAGATGAGCTGCAGCAGCTAATTAAATCCACCTCTGGAGTCGGTGGGTCTACGGAAGGGCTTTAGTGCTGTCAGATCTAGCAGGAAGTGCTTGCATGGGGTTCTACTTAGAAATTCGGCTTCTTTTCACTTTTCGGGATTTTGGGGTAGGCACTCTAAAAAGTTCGGACCTTTTTACCCGCAACCCGGCCGCAAATACCCGCAACCCGGCCGCAAATACCCGCAACCGGCCGCAATTCTAAAAAGGATAACGATTGCCAAATCCCTTCCGGCTGCTTTTCAGAAAATTCGGCTGATTTTTGGGGTTTCGGGGTACTGGCCTCTAATGGATCGTTCTGGGCAAAGCGCTGCACCAACCAGCCCTTGCCAATTCACGCATGGTCTCACAAAAAAGGCTGTTGTCTTCTGCACGTACAAGCGGCTTGCAGAGTTCTAGCTTTTATGATCAACAGTCAGCTGCACTGCATGTTTGAAAGGCTCATCTTAGCAGGGGGTCCACAAGTGATGACTTCCAGGCCTTGGTCCTGCAACTCTATTGTGGAAGGTATCAACCTCCTAGGGCCCAGCTCAATGACATCGCCAGACCACACCCAGGATGTTGCTGAACGGATCAGAGCCCCTTTGACCTAATTACTTCTTTATAATATAATTTCGAAAGATTTGGCCCACCACCTGCCTTTCCCCGCCCTACCTAGCTCAGGCTGCTCGTGAGAGGATTCAAGCTCTGCATGCAAAGCTTGCAGTGCATGGCCTGGCGCCCCCGGCACCGAAGCCTGAGGAACTGCTTTCGCCTGCAGGTGTCTTGTTGGAGGATTTGGGTCCCATGGTTATCCACATCTACATAATATATTCTGGGATTATAGGCTTTATGAACCCTATCTACAGACCCCACAGCAGCCGACATAATCATTCTTAATTATGTAATAGCCCCCCAACAGGGTTGAACTAGTTTCAGTTCTTGTTGGTCCGTATACTAGTGATCCCCTGATAAAGCAAGTTCATTTTGGGTACAGCCAAGGGGTAGGAAGTTCTGCTCCATAAGTAATTTGTGTATACTAAATTAATTTGTTAAAGGGGACCCTTTTATAATTGCAGAGGTGCACCTGCAATTGCACGAGCTGGGTCCGATGCTATTCCTGGTGCCATGACGATGGTTGTGCCCGAGACCCTTTGTGATGTTGGCCCCAACGGCAGCACTGAAACTTTGCAGTTGGGGGAGTATGACAGTAATGTGGAAGATTCCCAGTGCCCCTACGTTCTGTTGTTGCGCCCAAGACCAAAGAAAACTTGCCACTTCCTGAGATCAAGGAAGATGCTCCTGCCCCCAGTAGGCCTTCTGCCCTGAACGATGAAAGCCCGCCAGCCAAGCGAGCCAAGACCCACCGCTTTGCTACGCCCTCCCGCTCTGGCAGCAGCCTTTCTTTCACCCCGCCATCCAGTAGGAAGCCCAAGCACTCCCGAAGCAAGTCTCCCACCTACTGGAAGTTATTTAGCTGCAATATGTACATGTAATTTGACAGTACCCTGACATGATTGTGGCCCAGGCTCCGTCGCTACTTTGAACCCAAACAATGCGGAGCCCTCAAATGCTCGCCGGAAGCCATGTCCTTGTACAAAACTTCCGAGGGACGTGGCTGGCAATAATTGAGTTCTGTATGGCTATATGCAGGGCCTGTTTGGCCTGTACTTTGCTGCAAAATCTAGGCCAGCGATTGCGATCCTTGCTCAAAGAGCACGGCACGTTCAAGGCAGTTGAAATGGTGGTCCGGAAATCCCATGAAGCCCACTATGGACGGTCCAAAGAAGGTGAATGGTGCACCAAGCAGTTCCTCCAAACGGTTCATGGATGGACACCGCCTAGGCCTTACCCAGAAACCTGCGTAATCAAAGTTGTGTGCTACAGCCCATCCATTCAATCCTATATGATTCGATATCATAGCAACTACTTAGGAAGATGATCCAGGAGGCCTGGAAATGGGCGGCTGGGTCAAAAAACCTTCGCCGCAGCTCCATACACGGAGAAGAGGAAGCACGGATAGTATTGCATGACAAGTTCGAAGCCGGGGACATGACCAAGCACCAGATTGACATGACTGGAAATGTTCAGGTGGAAGATTCTTGTCTAAATCCCATTATCCCTTCACCCCCCTAGCCAATCTCCTGAACCCCTGTATATAGAGAACCCAGGAATGTGCTAACCATACAAGGCCCCAAGGGGATGTGGTAGATTATTATGGGGTGTTATCGCCACTATGTATAGACCTAGGACGAGGATGGCACCCTGTTTGATTCAGATATCCCCGATTTGGATGCCGATGCCTCCGCAATCACCACTGGCGTGCCAGGGGCTGCTGCCTCCAGCAGTGGGGATGGGGCACAGCTTGAGTCATTCTCCTCAAGTGCAAGCTTTAAGTGTCTAGTCGAAATATTGCAAAGCCCTGAAATTTTTGTTGGCCCCATGCAGAATTGACCCAATACAGCTTCCCTGAACCTAGGCTTACCTTCCCGACTTTGGCGCAGACAAGTTCCCCGCTGACTATCCTGCCCAGCTTTCTTGAAATCCTTGGGCGCAAGATCGATCACTGCGAAGATGTTCTGGAGCCCTTTTCACCAACAACCCAAGTAGAACATACACTTATTATAAGTTAAGGGTTGCCTTTATAAACCCCGATAACATGTAGGCAAATCCGGTCAAGGAGAAGTTGTCCAAGAACGGGGGCAACCGGGCGGATGCGCTGCTAGCTTCAAGTGTGCACATTGTTGTTCTTGACAGGTGGTAAGGCCCTTCTACCAAGTCTAGTTACAAAGATGCATTTGAGGCTCCATGTACATGTCCTTGCAACCTCCGAGGCTGTTGCAGCAGATTAAACTTGTGCTGAACTACTTGAAGGATTTGTTCACTACTATGACGGAGAAGCAGTCCGAAGCGGTCACCCGAAAGCCCACAAAGTACTTGACCCAGTTTTCATGAAGTACAGTCCATGCAAACCCTCTCACATACCTCATATTATCGATCCTATATAATGCAGGGACTTCCTGGACTCCATCATGAAGCTCTTTGCTGAGACAACCAAGCAGGACTTGATCATGAACAACTATGTGGTGCGAGCACGGCATCCTGACAGAAGAAATAAGCCCATTAGTTTGCACGCACGTGCAGTTACCTTTCCGAAGCAACCTCCCCTGTGTAACCCCATCCAAAATTTCCTTGTCAACCAAGGGCTATCAAGTCAGCTCCAAGCGTGGTTGGTGCTTCAAAGGATAAGCCAACTAAGCCCAAGAAAGTTGAGCAAGATGGGAAAAAGCCCGCCAAAAAGGCGGCTCCAGAGAAGCCAAAGATTAAGAAAGCTGCTGGCAAAGCCACCCCAGCTAAGAAGAAGTGATGTTCATACGAACATCTGCAAGCCTTGCAACACATGGCTGGGTTTCGGCAAGCTAGAGCCACTGTGTGTATATATGAACAATTCTCCATAGGACCATGAATGATGTGTTGCTGCGCTTTTCACGCGTTGTCTTTAGCAACGCTGCTCTGATCGAAAGACAGGATGCCTGGGGTCTGTGTGCAGCCTGCGCAACAAAGTGAGTTCCACTCTGTGCGGTTTGCATGAGCAGTTGCCTACCCTACCTGCTAGACACCCGTGCCAGCCACCTTCTATGAACCCCTTCGCAGGCTTGATTTCGGGTGCTGCTGATTCAGCTGCAGGCCATGAAGCAAACAATATAACCTCTAAAAGGGCCACGCAGAAGATTCTTATCTAAACCTTAAAACCCTCATAAATCATAACCCTACCTATGGTTATGAGCCCTGTAGGATATAATACATAAATCCTATACAAACCCATTATATGAGCCCTATCTTATAAAAACCCTGCATACTTTGTATAAACCTTTCTAATGTATATACATATAAACCCTGCTCCAAGACCAAAACACCCTGTCGACCCTATATAATATAAACCCTCCAGCCAAAGAAAGCCACATTATTCCCTGGCCCAGGCGATGCCTCGGACCACGATGGTTCATCCGCAGCGGATGACCTTGCTGAAGAGCTATATGCTGGCTTTGAGCAAGGGGTGCCCTGGTTTAGTTGGGTTCAATAGCATTAATTTGATTTACAGGGTTGAGAGGATGGAAATCATCGTGCAAAATGGACCCGCAGTCTCCTTATAGGGTTGGGAAATAAATTGTATATAACTTATAGAACCTTTTTTCTACAGGTGTAAGGGGGTTACAGTAACATTGTTATACCAATGAGGCTGAGAGTGCCAAACGTGTTGTTCGACTTGCGCAAGCTGCCACAAGGGTGCTGAGGCGACATGGCGCCTTCCAATGAATTTGTTGCAAATTCTTATAAGTTGAATTAATGGGCTAAGGGGATCTACTTAAGGGATGATGGGTTCCTCTATGTATACTACAAAAGTTTTACATAATACCCTTACACAACATTTGCAACCAAGGAATTGTGGATCGGAACTTGAGGGACCTAGCAGCCTGCGGCAGTGGCAGGAGACAAGATGACAATATTTCTCGGAACTTCCATCGGCTACTTGGTCTTCGCGGAAAATTCCTGCCCATAACTGTGACTGCTGTGACTGCTCCTGTGTTTCTGCATAAGGGCAAGCCCAAAGTGGAGAATATACCGTACCCTGTTCTCCTCCCATCTGATTGGGTGAGCTACATGATGTCAATTGGAGGGGAAGCCATATTGGGTGGCTGGTCTGTAGGCGACACGTGCCAATTTACAACCATGCTGGAAGACTTCTGGTGCAAGTATATGTCGTGTAAGCCAGACTTTAAGTTGGCCGAAGGCTTGCGTCCCAAGTATTGCATCCCGATCGCTGTGCATGGTGATGAAGGCCGCGGCAAGGTGAAAAGGCCTATAATGGTGCTGAGCTGGCAGCCTGTACTGTCATGGAAAGGCCCGGAGTTCGTGAACATGGGTGGGTCGAGTATGACAACACGGCTGTTGTTTACTGCCATTCCATCTGAGCTCTACGCTGGCGAGTTGACTCTTCAAACGCTGATTGGCGCCTTGGCGGATGATTTGACCAAGTTGTATTCGCAGGGGTTCGAGGTACATGCAGGGTCAACGAAAACAGGGTTTAAGTGATTTGGAAAGGGGCTATAGGATAATGGCAACTATACATGCATACACGACTGATAGAAATTGTTACCCCTGCAAGGTCGATCGACCTGGCTTTTCTGGAAAGATCCATTTGGTGCCATTGGCAATCAAAGGAGATTGGGTTTTTCTCCGGAAGGCCATGAGGTTGGCCACAGGTTTTAGCTCCAAACGGATTTGTCATCTTTGCTGTGGAGACGATGCTTTAGCCTCTTTAGTTGCTAGCTGGTTTTGATTCTTATTGTTTATTCGCCTATATATGCAATTTAAGGCTATGGTTTTGCAGGGTTATACAGGGCTTGGTTATATATACCGTGGGTTTGTATAGAATACATAATATATTTATAGGCTTACAGAATTTGTCGGAGTTGGATAGGCGTGGTGTTTATATAGCAAGGCTTACATTTTGCAAGTTTGCATTAAGGAGTGGTATGATTTGTCATCATCGTCGCAAGCACGGCAAATGGGATACATGGATGCGATTCCTGACCCCTTCAAAGCCAACCAAGCACCTTCACGATTTCGACGCATTCCTACGATTGCCAATGACGTTCGAACCATTCAGCCAGATGTGGCACATGTGTATGCAATCCAGGGCTGGGGTAAGGATTTGTGTGCTTCGAGCTTGGTCTTGCTGTTTCGAATGGGCGTTTTTCAAGGAACCACAATCCAAAGCTGTTTGGACTCTGCCTTTGTCCTTTTCAAAGCCTTCTGTTCGCGAAATGGCAAGACAACGTCCATTACCCATTTCTCCTTGCTAAGCCTGAAAATGGAGCGGTTCTTGGATGAAGTTAGAAACTTGTTGGTCTGACGGCCACATCTTTCCCATGTAGGAGCCCCATAAGAGTTCCATGCAAACTCTTACAACATATAGGATCCCCATGCTAATACCATATCCTTGGCCCACTATACAAATGAACCCTAGCTATTTGAAAAGCCAAAAACTTACACAACCCTGGCTGCACCATCCCCAGCCCAGGCTAAATCAGTTTCCTGGCGGTGCTGGCAAGGGGCACGACACTGCATTGATGAATGCGTGGCTCCAGGACCTTTTGGAGGGCATGAGCGAAGAATCTGTTGAGACTTGCCCTGGTGTTGGTTTGTATGTACGGCTGCGCTACTATTCATGTAGCTTTGGGATTTAGGATGTGATGTTTTGACAATATATGGTCCAGTTTGGAACCTTCATAAAAAGTTGTCTTTATGATGATGGTAAGGAGCCCCAATTTATTGACCTCTTCAAGTTGATGAAATGGACCCTTAGCGCATGTGGCCTGCATTTCAGAATTCTCTACGAAGATGGTGCCACTACATGGCTTTCTAGAGCAAGTGCCACTATGGCAGTGGAGTCGGGGTACAAGATGTTAGCTCCTCTGTGCAGAAATTAGTACACACATTTTCATAAGGCCAAGTTGTTTTATAACCTTTTGTGGTTGGGGTAGGCTCTGTATATAGTACGTTATACAACATTGAGGAGGGGTTTGGCCGACTGGCCAACATGTCGGCGCAGCGGAACTGGGCCCTCTTTAGAATACGACCCAAGATCCATCTTCAGATGCACATCGTGCCACTTGGTGAATCTATAGATTTGAGAATTGCAAACCCTGCACACATGCACAGAATTGCCAGACCATGACCCCAAGCAAACTAAGTCGAAATTTGCAGTTCCAACTGGAGCTGGGAGCTGAATGGTGCCTCAACCCTTGTTGCTACTTGGCTTCTTTAATGCATATAGGTCAGAAAAATATTGCAAGTCACAACATGGAACCATATGGAACCCAGGCTGGGCAGTTTGGGCGGACGAGGACTACATAGGAAGGGTGGCACGCATGAGCAGAAAGTGCCACCCATTTCGAGCTGTATCCCGTACAATCTCACGAGCCCTCTTGAACTACCGACGTGAATGGAGGAAACTCTTTGATCTGGATCATGCAACTGGGGCTTGAACGTTCCGATGTCCAGGATGGTCGGAAGGAGCTTCTTGATGGACTCCAGAAAAAAGTGTGTGTGCATGGTATGTGTGTGCACCTCCAAAACCTGGGGCCCTGAAGCAAATCCCTCAATGCCCTTCCCTAGTCGGACACATTTATCATAAATCGGCCACATTTCAGAATCCGGCCATATCCCCAGCTTCTCGGCTGCAAATATTTCGTACACAAATTTCCATACCAAAAGATCCTTCAGGTAGGGTTTAAGGTATCTGCGGAGTAGTGGTTGTTGCTTCTCGGTGGTGAAAAGAAAGGGCAGGGATGCAAAAGAACTTCAAGACTGCTATAGGTTTTAGGGGGTTGTTACTAGGAATTGAAACATAATGGAACCTACTACTACTGGGGTCCTATCGCGGCTACTATACGGATCCATTCCTCTTTTCCCTACTAGTAGCAGGCAGCTATAGTAGCGCTCGAGCGTTTGGTGGACAAACCCTCGACCCTAAACCCACGGGACTTCACCCGGCCTCACCCTTGATGGCGGTGTAGGTATATATGGGTTGTTCCCACAATCATGGGCGCCTTTTGGATATAGGTTATATTACGACACCTAATATTTAGGGGTACCAACATGGGACCCTAAACTTGGGGAACTATTATATATATGTATATGTGTTTATATACCGATATTGAAATTAGAACTGAGTCCCATCTCCGATGCAGGGTTTAAGGTTCAGGTTATCGGGTTAAGGGTTTGGGGGAAGCTTCCAAATTTAGATAAAGAATGACCTCCGACGATTTTGATGTGTGGACACATGAGCGTCATGCAGTAGTCATATGGTCCCCGTTTCGCGGCGTGGTATCAGATATCCCTTTACGTGGTAGAAGCGGCAACGGGATACTAGTAGCACGAGCCGGTTTCCCTGACAAGTGCAGTGTCACACTGCTAGACTTAGCAGTTTTGACACCTCTGACATTTGATGAAGGGACAATTAGAGGGTATAATCTGAAGACTTGCATCACCACGTCTGGGTCTCAAATAGCCTACGGTTCGACTGGCAGGCTGGTCCCAGCGCCAGCAAATTCGGATTTACTCGGATGGCCCAGCGTGAGCCGCAATAAACACTGGGCTGTCAACTGTAAAATAGGCACCTGAAACCTAAAAACTATTCAATGTAAGTATCCGGGATTTTCTGTCTTGGTCGAGCGCTAGTGGCCGAAGTCCATTACCCACGCAAGAGCACGCAAGAGCTTAGGGCCTGACAAA